GGGGGGGGGGGGGGGACTGACCTTTCGGATTTCTTCTTGTAATAATGGACGCACGATTGGGGTGGATGCTCTTTTTTGTCATTAGGATTTTGGTCATCTCGCAGATGATGCCAATAAGTTTATTGGTGATCGATAAGCCGGATATCGTAACATCACTCGTCATTTGGGGGCTCATAATCCGGGGAGAACAGCGGGGATGGCGGGTCATAATTCACTTTGTGTCTTCTGATTAATCTCATGAAATTAGGGTTTTCGGAGGGGAGTTGGAAGATTGAATGATTTATTGGTAAACAAGGTAAAGGAACTAAAAAACAAATGGGAATATACAACTTTTTTTGTTCACTGGAATTGCAGAATTCCCGATATTTTTTCAGGATATTTCGGCTCAACTTTCTGAGATTGATCTTTTGACTACATTCTCTACAGTTATCTCAGCCTGACGAATTACGAACTGTGTTCGACCATTCGTCCGTTTAACTTTCATCCAGTTAGATAACTCTTTGTAGTCGGTGCTAGAGTCATCACTGCTTGACGTTATGCTAGGAGTCGTCACCTCACGTGGAATCGTCAGTTCTCTGCGATCTGCTTCAAGAACCTTGAAGTGGGTACTACTCACCTTCTGAAAATTTTAATTAAGGCCCGGTTGGATCATTTTTCCGACGTTATCTAAATTGTTTTTTTTGTCTAAAACTTTGGTGCGATTCTGCATGATGCAGAGATTTCCCAAAAGTATAAAATCATGTTCTCATCAAAAACAAAAAAATTTGGAAAATTTTGAAAAAGCCTTTTGTATTTTTATAGAAATATATGATTTACCGTGGCACATGGCTGCCATCATGGGGGAGGAGGATGAACTTGTAAATCATACAGTACATATTTAACCCTAGACTGGTCACCATGCGAGGGAATTGCAGCAACACGTCGTTGTATTCACCTTGCCATCGACTGGATGACCGGAAAAATTTGAGAAAAATTGAATTCGTCAATTGAAGTATCTGGAAAATTCTAGTATTTTTTTTTCAATATTGTATCCTTAATTCTGGGAGAAAAAAAATTAATTCCAACAGGTGAACAATTTTTTCCCGTGTTAAATGAAATTGCCTGTTGCGCGACGTTGTAGGGAACTCGCTAAACGCGCCCGGGAAGTGTAGAATGGATTCGACAACGCTGGAGCCTAAATAACACGGCGGCACTCTCCCGCGAAGGGGACTAAAGTCGCATTTTCCCGTCAGCTGACCAGACTAGGGTTAAAAACATATTTTTTGAATTGTTTGATTACACTTTCACTACAGAATAATGGTCAGTCGCATCGAACAATTGCACCAAAATTATGTTCAAAAGTTGTTTTTTAACATAATTTTATATTTTTGGGAGATTTCTGCATCATGCAATAGTATACTGTGTTACAAGTGCGTGAAGAACCACTTTTTCGCAGGCACGCGTAACACAACCTATTTTTTGTGATTCCTGCCAAGTTTACTGTTCGGAACAGTAGTAGGGGTAAAGTAGTTGTTTTTTCGCATGAACTGCGTAGCGAAGTTTTACGCACGAGAATTTACATTACGCACGACCTCTGAACTTTACGTACACTAAACGGTTTCGAAAAGTGAATTTTTCAGGCAGGTATCACAAAAAACTGTGTCAAAGTTTTAGATTAAAAAATGATTAAAAAACAATCTAAATAAGTCGGAAAGATACTCCAACTGAGCCTTAAAAGATCAAAATGGAAGGAAATTATGAGAAGTTTTGGATTTTCTTATGCCTTTAACCTTCTTGGGTGCGAGTTTCTCAATATTCACAACTTCACAATTATTGGATTTGGCGGCCTCCAACGACGTTAGCGAAGCAACAATGTGCGAGCTCAATCGTTTCGCGGAGCAAGTCAATCTACAATGATGCCTAGATCTGTTTTTAACATTGAGCGTTCTTCTAGAACTTTTCCCTTTAATCAAAGAGTCCTCATGAACTTCCCTCGAACTTTCTTGCTCAACTGATTCCAAAGATTCCTTTGATATCGCACGTTTTGAATGTCCTCTAGCACGAAGCAACTCTCGATTATTTCGTTCAACGTCTCCCTGAAGTTTTCGAACTAGCAATTCATACCTGAAAATGCGAAAGGATCCCTTTGTTTAAGATGATAAACGAGTGAAAATATTCTTTGCAATTCTACCTCCTAATTGTACTCTCTCTATTTTTCTTGAATAACGCCATCTCTCTCTCTTTCTTCAATAGCAATTCTTTCATTTTCGCCAATTCACCTCTGACATCGTCATTGCCTTCATGAATCATATTCAGCATGGCAGTGCTTCGCTTGAAGCGCGCAGCAAGATTGGAAATCTCATGGGACGAGGTACGTTCAAGCTCCCTCCTCTCTACCTCCGATCGCCTCATTTCCTCCTTGACTGTTGTCAACTTGTCTAGTGCATTGGCGATACCCTCACCCAATTCATTCACCCGTTCACCATTCACTGTGTTCATTCTCACCATGCCAGCCAAATCAGTCCTCAGAGACGTGATTTCATTTTCCCTGTCCTGCACCCTCGACGACAATAACTTCAGCCTGCACTCCAGAGACGATTGGCTCCGCAGACGCTTCTGCAATTCCTCCCTCAATTCCTCCTTCTCTCTTTTACACTTCTCAAGAATAACAGAAAAATCACTGACTCTATCCTCTAAATTGTGCACCATCTGGAGATCACGTTCAATAGTCGAGATTCTTTGGTTCAGGGAATTTATTGTACACGTTTTTTCTTCTAGTTCTGATGAGAGTTTATTAATCTTGTGGATGTGGGTGGTTATGCACTGGAGGGAGGACTTCTCCTGGTCCAAGTATGCTTTTGAAAGTTTACTTTCTAACTCGATATTGCATTCCTTCAAGTTTTCTAGGTCAACCTCCTGGCTTGCTAGTTTCAGTTGATATTCAACGATTTTCTGATCACTCTGGGACATCATTTCCTTTAGGTTCTGCATGACTCGGCGAATGTGCTCGAGCTCTTTTGATAGCTCGTTGATGCGGATGGAGCCTTCGAGGTGCTCTAATTGCAGAGCTTTGTAGTCCAATTTTAATTGATTCACTTTCTGCTCAATCTCTTTTTTGGGATGTTCTGATTCTCGAGGGCTTGATGTTTGGGTGCTCTTGTCTTCTGTTTCAGTCATCATGCTATTCCTCGTGCTGGAGGATATCCTGCTGCTGACGCCAATACCCGAGTCTCCTTGTCTGTCCATTTTTATCAAGTCCAGAGTTTTATCGATTGTCTCAAAAATATTGGGAGTAATCTTGGTGGATGGGTTCATGGTCTGAAATTCCGGAAGATTTTCAACAGTTATAATACTTGATAAAGATGATTGAGGCCCAATGGTATCAGAGCTCGAATCTGATGAATTTGACTGCATTGAGTTCACAACGAAAATACTGCTGACTTCATCCGTCGTATTCTGGGACTCATTCTCAGGGTCTTCAGCTTCAATCTGCTCACGCGATTGATTCCGCGTCAGCTCATCTAATGATTCTTCGAGAGATTTAATTGTCTCGTTTTTTTTAAATATCACCAGCTTCAGGTATTTCAGCAAGTCTTTGTACTCGAATGAAGAGCATTCATGTTCTGATGACAGAACTTCCCTAATTTCCCTCAGCTCTTCATTGGCTAATCCCAGTTCGAAGGCACAGGTGTTCTTCTCTGTCCTCAGAGCATCACATTCCTTTTTAGTAGCTCTCAATGTTTCTTTCACAGACATGTATTTAGTGGTGATTCGAGCATTCTCAGCCTCGAGAATATCTAATGAAGATTGAGAGTCGTTCACGTCATCATCAGAGTCTCTCCTCCTCCTTTTCCTGTTGGTCAGACTGTCAATTCGCTCTTTGTAAAATGTCTCCACCTGCTTTACTGACCACTTCAATAAGTCTTCTTGATCTTCTTCAATCGCTCGGGCATGCATCCTCCAGTTTGACTCCATGTCCTTCATCATTGTAGAGCAGAAGTTTGCCATCTCCTCCCGAATTTTTAATTCCCGAACTGTTGCGTTTGATCTCAGGATTTCTATTTCCTTCTTCAGGATTGAATTCTGATCTTCCAATTCCCTGTATTCATTTTCATATTTATCTTCAATTTTCACAGGGCTCTCTTCAGTTGCGGGAGCTATATCCTTTATAGGACTGGGAATCGTCAACTGCGATCCAGAAATTTTCTTCAATTCCTTCCCGGGTGGCACAGTAATCCTCCTCGCAATGGAGCACAAGTGCAGAATGCTCTGATTCTCAACATAAAAATCCGGAGATGGATTTAGATGAGCAATAATCGTCAATTGCTCCTTACCTGACAGACACCTTTGGAAGAGTCTCGTCAGTTTTGATTCTCGGAAGGCTCCAACAGCCTCAGAATTAAGTTTACTGGATTGACGATCGTGAACACTCTGGAGACATTTTCCCAGAGCTAATAGCCCAGCCTTGATATTTCTCGCTTCCTTCAGAGACTCTCCACTGGCCGTGACGTTCAATTTATTTCTTCCCGATCCAGCTAGATCACAAAAGGTCAACGTACTCACCTCAACATCATCAACAGCGCATTCTTTGAAGTACTTCAACAAAGTAATGGAGAAAATGGAATGGGAGAGGGAACTCCCACTGTCTGACGGCTCTGACGACACACTCAGCCTCGATTGTCCAGTGAGGAGAACCTGATAAGCTTCTAGACCAGTAGTAACACAGATCATAGTCAGTCCAGGGATGAAGGACCTCCCCTGCTTATCAGTGGCCAATTTCAAGGGGGAAGTCTTGCCTTCATCGACTTCTCCAAGTAAATCATAAATATTTTCGTTGTAGATTTCAGCAAAGGACAACCAGGCGGAGTAAAGAGCCTCCCCACTAGGTTCTCTGTACTCTTCATCTGCGGAATCTTCTAAAAGTTTCCAGGTGTCGATGGTATTGACTTTGTTCTGAAGTTTCGATAACAATTTCTCTTGTGCCATTGACTCGGCGAGACACTTCTTCTCATCCAAACTAACGATTTCGAAACTAGGAAGAGGCTTGTACCATGGTGAGAGAGTACAATTTACAGCAGAGAAAATGAATTCAATACTTCTAGGAATTATTCCAGGTGATTCTAAAGAGCCGTAAAGCGAGAAAGTCTTACCAGAGTCTGTGGTCCCATAAGTCATCACCGTGGAGTTTTGACCAGATAAAAAATCGAGAATTGTGTCACCTGTGCAGTCCTTAAAAACCTCATCTTGGGAGGAATTAAGAGTAAGAATTTTAGTGAAGGAAAACTTTTTACTAGTCGCCTCACTCGATTTCAATCTTCTGGTGGAGCAGCCGTCTGGGGAAGGGAATTTTGTGAGGAGGGTTTTCGAATCGGAGACAACGTACATTTCTTCTTGGATTTTTTTGGCACGTTTCGTTTTCGGGGTCCTTGGCTTGAGACGCAAGAATACTTTGACTGTTTGTGATGTGCGGGATCCATTTAGTGAGTCTGCAAAGTCGTCAGTCAATTCGCGTTTTATCGTGCGAGTCTCGTTGAGGTTCACAGACTGCGGTCTTCTAGAGGATCTAGAACTGTCCTCCGATAACCTGGTAGACTCGAACAAATTCTCTGTCGAGTAACTCATATTGAAATATTTTCATGGAAATAATCCACAATCAATAGAACTTTTTAAGAGCTTCTTTCGTGAAAAAAAAATCGTAACCTAGAACCATCACAACCTAATTAATCCCGCCCGCAATGATGAATTGAAATATCGAAAACAAATTGTTCAGCTTCGCAATTTTGGAGATCAAAGCAAAATCACGTGTTGTAAATTTTATTAAGTTGTCCAACGCTAATTAATCACCAGCGGAAAATTTTCATGTGATTTTACGCAAGAGTATTTGTCGCGAAGTACTGTCAGAACTGAGGGAAAATCATGAGCGACTGTCATTTCATTTTCGACTTTTTCTGTCATAGAATATTCAAGAATAAAACAAGTATGGAATGCCATAAATCCTTGCCTAATCTCGGATAATCTAAAGTAGCAATTTATATGGGTGTCGTACGACTCATTAAACGTAACCAATCAAAGCCAGTGGTTAATAGCAAAGCCAAGTCAAATAGCGATGCAGCAGTGCTCGAGATGGGTCGGGCAAGATGTGTACATTTATATATCTCATCATCAGAATCTATTGGGAATACAGAGACATCCACTGTTACCATAGCGGTTTGGCGTGTGGTTTGAGAAAGACGAGGTCGAGGCGGTCCCTTTCGCCAACCACAATCGACTCCTTGTATCGACAGACCGCACCGTCTTTTTCCCTCCACACTCTGCACCACTCCCCCTTTATTCCACCTCCCGCGCAACATCGGAAGATTTTCCTTTTCGTCTTTGCCGACCATCACATTGGCTCATTACACATGTACTCTTTACCATGTGCCGACACAGATTCCTCTGGTGGTCTTTTTTTGGGATATTTATTTACTTACTACAATTACTCATGTTTCAGATATCAAAGTGAAGATTTTTTGTGTGATCAATCAGAATATAATGATTAATAGTGTAGAAAAAACTAGTCGAGAATAAGCTCCCAGAGGCAAAAATAATCGATAAAATGACGATGTGTGACTTTGTAGAAATAATACATTATTTTATGATTTCAAATGTCTTACACAGAGAAAAAAAATGGATTAGTTTTAGAAACTAGTTTCTAGATTTTAGAAACTCCTGTTCTTAAGCTTTATGTTTGGTGGAATCATAAAAACTAACCAATGTAGGGATTGTTTTCAAGAACTAATATTTCCTAAAACCAATGCTGAATTTTTCTTAATTTTAGAAAATTTTCAGATTGAACTGAAAAATTGCGGTCGCGGTATTTAAGGAGCGTAAGTGCCCCATACATAGGGAGGGGTGCCCAAATATCGGAAATTTCAGATGTGAGGAGGGGGGATTTTGCAAAGAGGGGATGGGGGTGTTCTTAATTGAGAATTCACAACCACAAAAATTGAGTTGGTGAGTTTTTCCAAAATATCTGTGAAACTAAGAAAGATAGCGAATTTTTGTTGAAAAATTAGGAGGGGGGATGTTATCCATCGAGAATTCAATACAGCTTGCCTCCCCCCTAATTTTTCAATAAGAATTCGCCATCTCCCTTAGTTTCGGAGATATTTTTGGAAAACTCCAACGATAACCCACCCTTTCATAAAACACTCCTCGTTACAAAACCTCCCTTTTTATAGCACCCCCCGGATATCTCTGCCCACCTCTTTACAAGATTCCCCCTCAAAAATTAAAAAAATCTTCTACATTTTAGAAAATCTTTTTTCTAAAATTAAGTATATTTTGATTTAAAATTAATTCCAATTTTGATTAATTCCATTAATTAATTAATTCCATTCATTTTAAAGGATGTTTCCTAAAACTTGGAAAAAAAAATCTAGATTTTCGAAAACTGAAGGTTAGAAACCACTGTGTAAGGATATTTAACCAGCGTCGGTAAATTTTTTTTTTTCATGGTCAAGGAAAATTTTGTATTTGTTTCGACTGACAGCAGAACATGCAAAACTGATGTTTCTAACGTAAAAAAAAATTAATGACAATAACCTCGGTAGAAATGAATAAACTAATTTTTCCTTATACACGGGCTCTTATAAAATTTATGTTCAAATTGATAATTCACCTACTATAGAAGACTCTAAAAATAGAAATAAAATTAGAAGGTAATGTGTAAAATCATACTGAATCCAATGGCCAGAGAAAAATTTGGGGTACGCGGACAAAAAGACATATTTGAATGATTCTATCCCATATAAGCGCATGTTCACGCATGCATTTGGTGCATTTTATTCATTTCATTTAAAAAAATAATGAACATGGGTTGGTGGATTGAAATTTATATCAAAGTGAAGGGAGTATTTTCATCTCTCAGGTAAAAGAAAGCAATTTTTTAAGTACATACGATTTTGGAAAAACATCCTTAAAATAAGATTTTTAAGGAAAATGATTATGACTGATTTATGACATAGACAGACTCAAAAAATTAAAAACAACTTTCACCCTTAATAAACTGAACCATATTCTAAATCTCTGTCACAAGCGCATTCCTACCGCCAAGATGCGATAGAAGTACCCCCAGCGAACCCTCCTAGAGAATCTTAAAGCTATTCGCATAGAAACATACGGAAACGATGACTGCGGAGGTTTAGCACACCTCCAATAATAAGTCTTTGCATGAATAACAATAGTTCTCTACTTTTCTTCTTCATTCTCATCAAACCCTTCAAACTGTTTCACTCGTATCCCATCTACTTTCCAATGTACAAAAAATCTCTATTTACCGCTTCTTGTGTTTTGATCTCTGTTGTACAGGGTGGATTATCATAACATTCAACTAAATATTCCTGTAAATATCAGGCTGAAGGCCTTCGGGCGACGACCAGTCGCAAACGCCTGGCGGCAAATCAATTTGATAATAAATAAAATAAGACGTTTAAAAGTCTTAATTTGAAGCCTGAAACTCTTAAGTTGAGAATTTCAAAAATCTCAATTCCTGTTCTCTAAAAGTCCCGAATGGAGACTTTGGAAGCTCTTAAGGAAGTTTATCCAACATTGCAAGTACTTTAAAAAAAATTGATTTTTTTTTCAACTGAAAGATGAAGATATTCCCTTCACTTTGATAAAAAATTCAATCCACCAACCCATGTTCCTTATTTACAAATGAAATAGACGAAATGCACCAAATGCATGCGCTAACATGCACTTATATGGGATAGAATCATTCAAATCAGTAGCGAAGTGGTAAAACGGTTTGAGCCGACTTATCTCCCAGTTGAGTTTTTGAAGGATATTTCCGAATCTAAGAGAAATAGCGAAATTTTCGTAATTATAATTGTTGTAGCTCTCAATCGGCTCTACAAAAAAAGTTATAACCAAAAATTTTCTATCTCCCTTAGATTCCGATATATTCATTGAAAACTGGCAAATAGTTAAAATTGACTTATACCATTTTACCACTTCGCTACTGAAATATTTCTTCTTTTTGCCCGAACACCCAAGATTTTTCTCCGGGCATTGCATTCAGTATGATTTTATACATTACCTTCTATTTTTAGAGTCTTCTAGTAGGTTAATTTGAACATAAATTTCATAAGAGCCCATGTATAAGGAAAAATTAGGTTATTCATTTCTGCCGAGACTATTGCGATTCATTTTTTTAACGTTAGAAAAGTTGGTTTTATATGTTCAGCTGTCAGCCGAAAAAATTAGAAATTTTTCCTTGACCATGAAAAAAAAAAACACATTTACCGACAATTTACCGACCCTGGCTAAACATCCTTAATTAAAGACTTTTGGAGGTTTTCATTTAAACTTGCAGTCTGAAATTGATACTTTTGAATGCTTCAAGTTAAGACTTTCACAACTCAACTTGAAATGTTGATTTCAAGTGGAGTTCTCAAAGTCTCAACTTGAAACTTCTAAAACTTTCAATTTGAAACCGTTGAAAAAGTTTTGTTTTTTTGTTTTGGGTGAACTTCAACAAATTTTTTAATATCCACAAACCATAACTAAAAAAATCTTTCCTCCACTAAAATTTACATCCATCATAATCCTTTGAAACCCCTCCCTATTGAGTGTTTACATTATAATGGAAACATCATATTTGATCTACAGCATTTGCGCCTATAACCTGAACTCGGAGGTGATAAAAAGCTCGAAGGGATAAGTCCTCTCTTTTGCAAGAGAGAACAACGCTGTTATTGCCATACTCCGTTGTTTATATACATCTTCACCTAGAGGCCAGGGAGGGTGTTGGCTCGGGTATGAAAAATAACCCAAGAAGGAGAAGTATCACTTCCCCTCCCTCCCACCCCACCCCCACAGGGTCGTATCGGGCGTTAATGTTTCTATGGGGATTGATGTCCCGCCTTTATGGGTTATTTATTTAATACTGACAAATTCGCCCACCGTGCGCGGAGGCCACCGCAGCCACTCTTCCCCACACGTATAGATATATAATCAGTGGCCCCCGTACCGCTGCCCGATGCGCATCTTTTATGGCCCCCACGTTTAATGGCCTTCCTGAAAGATAGGATATCGTGATTCCCGATGGTTTTGTTGTTCCAGTCGATACAGAACAGTGGGAATTATAATACTCGGGTGCCTCAATGCACCCACTAATTCACAGGAAATTTTTCTCGAATTCCCCGTGTCTTGATAAGACCGTCGGCATTCGAAATTCTACACGGGAAAAATGTAAAATTATTCTTTGCTACACGGAGAGAAATTTTTGATAAAAATTATCCTACCGTTCTATAAAAGTGTATCGTGAGTCATCGTTTCCTCATTTCTATCCCGAAATTTAGTAAAAATTAATATATAATAAAATCAAATTTTATTCTACGTTAGAGAAAGTTAATCCTGATAAAAATAAAAATTACCGTGCTGGTAGAGTAAAAATTACTGTACCGGTGGGGTAAAATTTAGCAACCATTCTAGAATTTTCGCTGTTATCTACATAAAAATTATGGGACTGGAAGGGTAAAATTTATTATGCGTCAAGATAAAATTTCTCTTACGCAGAATAAAATTTGATCATCATATATTAATTTTTAATAAATTTCGGGATAGAAATGAGGAAACGA